ACGGTATAACCGGAAAACCGAAAAAACGCCGCTTTCGGGGGCCCTCACCACTTAAGCACAACTCCGTCGAAGTCGAAAACTTAGGAGAGTCTTAATGGGCAACCAATGAAGCCATTAATGCAAAAAAATCTTTTGTAGGAATTATTTCCGATTTAATCAATTTTTGTGTTTAATTCTACTGGCCTATTAATGACAATAAGTAAGGTACTAACAAAAACTTTATTAATTACGAGTTAAACTCGGCTTGCTGTGCACTAATAATAGATACAAATAACTATTGTTGGTAAATTGTAAACCTTTATGGAAACTTACAAACGCTAAAGATTTCCTTTACTAGACCTATTTGTAGAAGACGAAATCATAATAAATTCTAACAAAGTAATAAACCGTCCGTCCTCACTCGTAGGAAAGTTCCTAGCGCGTTTTAGGTCAACGCATTCGTGACGCAAAATCGTCCGCCACTCCGCTAATGTTGACACAAATACTTGAATCCGTAATAAAATCTATTTAGCACAGTAATGTTCCGTTCATTCCTAAAATTCCTACTTTTTGAATATTCTTTATATAAAATGCATCATAATAGAGATCAATAAGCGGGTATTCTTGGCACAGTAAGTACCTACCTACCTACCTACCTACCTACACTTAGTAACTTTCTAAATTAAAACTCCCCAAACACAAAAATGTAAACTAGGCAGGTAAATAGAAAATTAACACACCTAACTGTTGTAGTAAGTTATTATTTTTTCAATTGATTTTTTTGTTGTAATGTAACTACCTATACAACAAAAAAATCAACAAAGAAAGGTCCAATAATTTTAAAGAACATAATGCGAGAGAAAAAGGCCTAACGACAATTATTATATTTATTATAGTGCCAAAATTTATCACCTGTTACGTCAACTATGCAGAATGAGATCTCACATAATATTTACCGTGTAATTTTGGGACTTGTTAGACAGACTTAGCTAACAAAGTACGTCATTACTAGACATCGGATTATATGCACTATCAAAATGCCAAAATATGCATGCAAATATGCACTAAAAAAGGGCGAAATATGCACAAAATATGCACAATCAAAAAAACATTATTAGAATTAACTTTATTTTCACAATACATAATTAATTAATTATATAGGTACTTATTGGTTGTAATTCTTGTGACAATATACAATAACATATTTTTCAAGGTTTTCTGGCGCAAATTTGTGACGATATGCTGAAAATGACCTTTCAACGTCCACTGACGTTACCGGACAGAACTTNACCCCCCCCTTCCCCCCGTATGAAGGTTACTTTTTATTCAAAAAGGTTACATTTTTTTATATTTCTGGTAATTTCTCTGGCAACACTGGTATGGATCGCTCTCAATGCGTTCTCGCAGTGCGTGCGAGGGCGATGTGTTGATGTTTGGCGTGGGGACGGCGGCGAAGTATAACACGTCTAACACGTATAAATACTAAAATAAGCACTGTCAATGAAAAAGTACCAAAATATGCAATAACGCTATAAAAATAGCATTATATGCGTTTGCATATGCAATAATGCAAATGCATATAATCCGATGTCTAGTCATTACATTGTGTCACAAATCACAAATACGTTACTTGCAAGACTTTTAAATAGTTCAAGGTTTACTCTGAGAACTATGCTATTAATATCGTCAACATTGAAAAAACAGTTGTGGCTATTTCACATAGAAATGATAATGACTTTTAACTCTGTCTGTTATTGTTTATATCATTTCCATTTCAATGCATAATAAACGCGGAAAATATAAAAGACCAGTGACTTTAGCATACTACAATGTAAACGTAATTATGTACATTAAAATTACCTATACGGGCTGATTGAATATAACTACAGTTACCAATAACAAGGAATTAAAAAGACATAAAAAATGCATTATGGACATTATGGTTTTCCTTGAAAATACCTAGACCCAATTGGCTAAGGACGTGACGAAGGGCGTGCGATGTCGTGACAGGATTGCAGCACATTGCAGGAACTTAAAACTGCATTATTTGCATACGTACCGGCCAGAGGTCGCCATTAAAACGTACCTCAATGAAAGGATGTATTTTTCCTATAAAATACGCACGTGCGTGAGTGCGGTAATGAGTGGATGATAATTTATGCAGTGAATTTTGCAGTTTCATGGTGACGCAATTCAAGTATTTCTAACAAAAAATAACATGGCAAATTAACATTTCATTTGTCTCTAAAATAAGTTTTTTATCTGCTTAAGACTTCAGTATTTAATGATTTCAATGTAAATGATGTCGGTTTTAGTTTTACTAAAACATTGGTTTTATTTATGAACCGTCTTAAGAATACCTAATTAATTACCTATGAGCCTATGTACAATCTAAAAGATAATTTACAAACTCCTTTAAAAACCAAAAAGAAAACTATGCCGTAAGTAGCTAAAGTATTTCTTACAAATTATGCAATTCACATTGCATAAATTGTGGTGGCCGCCTGGAATAACTATAGTGAAAGTGCGTTAACATCAGCAGCGTCTGTGCTGAAACGGGTTAGGTATTCTAAAACAGATCTTATTACCGGGCTATAAAAATCATGGTGATTGTAAGCGATGAACTTTCGAACTCTTATTTACATGCGCGCGAGCCGATTACATTTCATTCATCGTTAATCAGTTGGTAACGCGACCAGTAGGGTGACAATGGTTACAATTTCCAGAGAGCATTCCAGGAAATACACTATGTACTTAAATCCAAAACCTAATATTTACTCTAATTGTATTAAATTATAAGAAAAAATATATAAAAAGACTGAATACAACACTAATATTGGATTAAGAATAATATGCACAGGATGTAAGTTAAGCGCGAATGGTCAATTTGCATTTTTCTGAATTTTTTAATGTATTAGTTTAGAACTTTTATTGTTCAGAAAAATGAATTATAAAATTAATATGAGTGGTTGATTATCATCTGGTTCAAATTGTTTTGTCTCTTATAATAACTGTGTCATAAGTTCATAACATCTTTAATGGAACGATGTCAATGATAAAACGGGCGAGACAACTATGTAATAAATGACAGGCGCATAAAACAAGAATGCATAAAGAAATAATGCAATAAATGAACAGAGCGTTGTGCTTTACGAAGTTGGCCTTTAACCCGTATCTTTCCTACGCCTGGTTGCACAAACTCTGATATATTATTTTCAATTACGCCAATCCTCAGATAAAATAACACTGATAATTTAGACAAGGAAGCCAGTGTTTCAAAGCGCATGGTTCGGTTTCGATACTCGCAACCTGATTAAATTACGCAAAATGATTTATTTAATGATAAACAGTTCAATGAATCTGTTATTAATTTATAGTTATCGAACTCAATAACAACAATTATGTTACAATCTAGATTGTTAACGACGTAACGAGAATTCCAAGGGAACATAGATGCCTTCTGATTCTGAACGTAAGAAGTACTATCAATCACTGACATAATTTGTGATCTAGGAAATAACATAAATATCTTTTTTTTTTTTTTTTTTTTTATGTGATAGGAGGCAAACGAGCAAACGGATCACCTGATGGTAAGTGATTACCGTCGCCCATAGACACCCGCAGACCCAGGGGCGTTACAGGGCGCTACTTGTGTTATAATTCACCTTGGATTACTCGATTAAATATGTGATAAAGAATAAAGATACATGTGTATTTTGCGGAAGAACATTTGAACAAGGGTCTGATTTATACTATAAAATGAGGAAATCAATACGTATTTTTGCGAATACCAAACGCTGATCAATAATTATAATATATTGGACGATAAAACATGCAAAAATGATTGCCGAGTAATTAAATCCCCTGTAATCTTAACCTTGCGTGTACCGACTGGTTCAGACTTGCCATGATAATAATCACGTGACTACCCGCCCCACACAAAAATAACACTACACCTCATTTCTCGGAACTGGTTAACCGCAGTGCATAGCAACCGTTGCGCAAGGTTAAAACGCGCGGTCAAGTTATATGTACCGGCCAATGGGCGCCCGCCATTGCCGTGACGTCAGCGACCACGCCTGCGCGCGCCTCCGCGCTGCGTAATATCGCTTTCATGCATTGCGAACTGCGAAACGTATACGCAGCAAGCGATAACAATTGAACTGTTTGTGAACAAGCCCTCTTGACGTCGATCGAGAACTGATAGTGAGCCAAAATGTTCACAATAATCTAGAGTCAAGGCAACCGCATTATTAAAACTTATTGCGACTGTGTAATTGGCAATTTGCAAACCAAGAACGACGTCATCTCTATTGTCTATAAACTTGTTTATGATTCAATGGGCTTTCAATTCGTTTCAATTAAAGGGGTTCATCCGAATACCAAGTTAATATTCAGTAAATTGGTATGAAAAGTAATTTATCATTATTAAAAAACTTACCCATCATGTTGGACATGAATTTAGATCTGTCCATGGGAGGAATCCATTTGGAGGCCATTGGGAGTATGGCGGGCCACGTTGCTCCTAGCAAGAAGCCGAGGACTACCCTCACAGCTATCGCCCATCCGAAACCCAAGCTGGCAGCAGTCGGCGTGAAGAGTGTGAGCAAACTTGCGAGCAGCGTACTGTAGCCAAATACTCGCCTGTAGAAGAAAACCCCATTTAAAAAAAATAATAGTGCTGCAAACATTTTTTCGTGGCATTGACAAGGCTTCCAGATTGAGACGTACCAAGGCTTGCATTCTCAATATCAATATATCAGTCAGTCTAGACTCGAGGTTTGATTTGTAAAAAAGGCATCTTTTCATCCCATGATTATGCCTTTTATAATTAACCTTGCACATCTAAGTATGAGTTAGCATTCTTTTACAAAAATATAGGAATTTCGAAGCAAGAATCTCTAAACATTAAAAAGTTGCTGTGAAACTGCTCATATAACTGAAGTAAACCAAACCGTCAAGTTAAAAAAAACAATGTTCACGTCACCACCGCCCACATCGGCCCACAAAATCCGTCACGCCAGCGTTTCGCGAACGCACGCAGGTCCTCGCTAAACGATAAGGCTAATAAATCCGCTCCCGCGCATACAACCCGCATGATCGCGTCGAGAATGTTCCGCATGAATCATCTCCAGGCATGGTAACACGATAATCTGTCATCCGTTGAATACGCTTTTTCATTAACCGTGACAGTTAAATATTTCGAATTTGATTTACTGCACGAAGATTTTCAGATAAACGCAATTTCAATTACGCATTGTAATTGCTTGCATTCTTCATGCAATGTGCCCACAATGATAAGAAAAGAGAATAACAAATTCTACAAGACATTAAAGTGTAGTTGACCTATTTCATTCGAGTCGACAATGTGACATTCGTAAACCAGTAGGTTACTGCTGAAATGTCATTTGAACAGTTAAAATTAAACGAATGGAAATATCAAACGATTAACAAAGCCGACTAAAAAATCCAAGCTAGAAATCTATCTTTGTCTATTTACAATCATAGAACAGCGTGGCTATTCTTGTTCTATACTAGTTAGATGATAAACAGGCTTGCGTTGTGATTTAGTATTATTGGTACTGACTGCTGATAAACGTAATTAATTATGTGGGTTCAAACTGAAGGCAAGGACCAAAACTAAGCAATAGGCCTCGTTGACTCGTCTCGACCTCTTTATTAACAGTCTTCTAGAAAGTTCGGCGTAGAAACGGACACACGGACTATGTGCAACGAGCATGTACTTACGTACAACAGTTGTACATAATACATTATACTTACTCCACAATATTGAAACGTTAAAAAACCCAAATATTTTCCAAATGATCGATTCGTTATGGGGTATTATTAAACTCATCTTGGGAACAATATTTATTGCGGTCCAAAATTCTTCCTTTAATTATGTAGGGTCAATGACAGCCCGACTGGTTCTCATGAAATACGAATCGCATGGTCACTTTTCAAACGTCGAATGCAACAATTCATATAATTAAACGGAGGTGGGGCATTTTGGTTTTATTCTTTTTAAATCGCTGGCGTTCCGTAAGGGAGGTTATTCACCAGAACTGGATACCTGGCTCAAAGACTTGTTGTTGTTACTGACGAATAAACAGCACGCATTTTTTCGTCTGAGGGTACACAATGCTACTATTGTTTACGGCCTTAGCCGGCAGACACTCATTGTTGGGCGTCAACCGGATGCAGTGGAGATTTAACTAAGCAAAAAATTGTTGCTATGTTGCAGGCAGTCAAATAAGCAGTAACTTAATAGCGCCTTTTCCGTGTTTAATCATAAACTTGTGCCTTTTTATGATAGTTGAATAATGACGAGAATCCACATCAGAACATGTTTACAAATAGAAACTTTATGGGTAAGAATTTAACATCAACTTACCGAGCCCCAACAATTTCTGCTAGTCGACCGCCTGGTAGTTCTGTGAGCACGTAACCCCAGAAGAAGCATCCGAGCAAATGGTTCTTTTGTTTCGTGTCCCAGTGATAGCGGGTTTGTTCTATGTGCTCTGGATGCTACACAGAAAATAAATCTAGGTTAGAAAATTATTCAGGAAAACATAATTATAAATTAATGAGAACAGGATAATGAATTACTATCTAAAATCGGACCCGCAACATACCGCACAATCAGCCCAAATATAGTCAATGTTTTAACAAGTTTATTTGTTAGCAACTTAAAATGCAAATACTTTCCGATAGCCTAATGAAGATATCCAAGTAAATTGTTCACGCACGTTTTGATACATACTTTGTTTGCCAAATTGGGTTTTTTGGTAACCAATTAGGTATGTGCACGTGCATTCGTAATTGGTTCTTTATCAAACAATTGCATTTTATTATGTTCCTTTTTCACTTCTAAAGGTCATCATTTGCAGATAACAGAAACATGAATATTTAAAAGGGGTTTCAGAAGGTCCGATCTGAATCCGTGAAAACACGATTCGAATTAGTCGTAGAAATGTTCTCATCGTAGTTTACGTACTGGATCCGATATCCGACATCTGATTAGTTTTCAAGATCCTTAATTTGACGGATTCAGATCTGACGCAAAGAACCGGTCTTCCTATTATTTCTAAAGACAAATCTTACCTCTGTGACGTTTAGCATATCATGTGTAGCATTGACTACTGCAGTGACGTTGTCCTTTTCGTCGTAGATCATTTCGACAATCGCAATGGTGAGGTTCACTCGGAGGGCGTAGTTGAGCATGAAGCCCAGGAGGACCATGATGTTCAACACTTGGACGCATGTTAGACACCCTGCAACAATTTTTATTGTTTAACACACTATTGATGACGTCAATTTGGCTGCTTAGTAAAAAGTAACTAGCCTAAACTTTATCAGGGGCTTCAAATTATTGCAAAAACAGATTTACGTCTGCAAATGGACATGCGGCAGCTATTTGCTACAAAACCAGACTTGACCAAAAATAACCCCATAAAAATACAAAAGAAAAAATGGCGAGAGGACAAAAATTCCAACTTGCTTGTCCGATCAATACAATCCGTATCTTACCGGAAAGCAAATGACAATTTCTAGGTAGTCTCACACACTCTCACTTGCAACAATCGCTCGACAACCGTGAGTCACCAGAAGGCACGCATCAGCAATGAACACCATTGAATTAAACGACTTTAGAATAAATCGATTAAGTCACAACATCCTAATTCCAGTCTATATGGCTACGTTTAAACATGAAATACATACCTACTAATTTTATTATTTTCTATACTATCAAGTATAAAAAAAAATCCAAGAAGACATTCCAGAATCCAGATCACCCCGTATTAGTCTCGATAATCCCGATTAAGTCCCAAATCATGGTTAGTTGACATAGAAGTCAATGAAACCCATTTCACACGCACACCGTGGTCGGACAGTTAGTTTTGTTATTGTAACGCGATCATTGGCGAGACTCGTCAACAGTTCAACATTCGTGTGCAACATCACCGCAACATGAGCGGAGTGGGAAAAACATTTCTACCTATTTGGCAAATTATACGTCTAACAAATTATTTACAATCAGATACGTGCACGAAGGAAGAAATGACGAACCAGAACCATTTTCTCAAAGGGTTAGGATCTTAGGATTGAGGAATCTTACAGAAGAATTATTTTTATTTATTTATTTACACTTTTGCACATATATAACTGTACAGTGGCGGACTTAATGCCAGGTGGCATTATCTGCCAGTCAACCACAGGTCGAGCAGAGAGACTAAGACTAAGAGAATTATGAATTCGACTATTCTGAAAATTACCATCATAGCTACCTACCTAGGTATAAGATAAGATCATCATCAGAAGGAATAATACCCTACCTAATAGCAGACTTACGCATATTCTTTGATCTGACATTCGTGATGATCATACAAGCAACCTATCGTTACACAAATAATTACCAATAACTACTAGGAATTAGATAAATCGCAGTATTTCCACATGTGTTTGACGTCAATACCATCAATATCAATACTAGCTACCAGAAAATAGATTCGCCACTCAAGAGGCTTCGTCTCACGGTGTGCAACCGGAAAAACAATCCTCATGCGTTGATTTTTATAAATAGAGCAAATTGGGCACACCTTAATAAAGCTTGAACCACACCAACGCGTGCAGATCGCCATCGCCTCGCGGCGCGATCAAAGGCCAACGACAACAGTAGGGCATGTAATATCGGAAGGTTTTCAATTCCGATATTGGATTCCGATATTAGATCTCAATATCGGAATTCCGATATTAATATCGGAATTGAGTTCATGTGCTATTAAGTTAATATTTGGTTATATTCGTAAGAATTCTGGATTGTTTACAATAAAATAATGATTTTAATCAAAATCTTTAATTTGGTACAAAACAGCACTTCATAAAATTGAAGTATTTTAAAACCATTTTTACGTTATGGGTATCCATTGCATTTGGTTTTTTATGTGACAAAATGCAAACGAGCAGACGGATCACCTGATAATGAATGGTTACTGACAATGAGCCTATATGGACTAGCAAATAATTAGTGTTTTTGTAAAATCACAGGTATCAAACAAACTTTTACTCCTTTATTATGTATTACCCTGTTTTATTTTGGCGGAACGAATTTTAGAGTCATTCAAATCATGTGTTCCAAAAATTGTAGAGAGTGGTAAAAAACTTGAATATGCTTGTAATTTGTTTATTTTTGATTATCTATGTACAACTCACAAAACCACGAGCCATCATCATCATCATGTTAGCCATAGGACGTCCACTGCTGAACCGTACCGTACAGGCTCCAATGCTGATTTTCACAATGGCCGGTTGGTGGCGGCCTGCATCCAGCGCCTTCCTGCTACCTTTATGAGCTCGTCGGTCAAACTTGTGGTTATGAGTCCTACGCTACGGTTTCCGGTACGTGGCCTCCACTTCAGAACCTTGCTGCCTCATCGTCCGTCTGTTTTGCGTACTAAGGCAGAACCGTTGGAAGACCTTATCACAATGCTCGAAGACCTTAATCGAGTTTCCCAACAGGTAGGCCTTCGGATGAATATGGAAAAATCGAAGCTTATGTCGAATGTCCATGTTGCTCCTTACCCAGTTTCGGTTAGGAGCTTGATTATCGAGATTGTTGACAAGTAAGTATGTCTAATATCTCGGACAAACGATCAGCTAGGTAGTTAGATGCAATTTCGAGAAAGTGGTAAATCGTCGAATACGAAGACGAAAGTCTTCAATTAGTGTGTGTTACCAGTGATGATATACGGCTCGAAAACGTGGCCTTTGAATATAGGGCATAGCGTGCTATGGAGAGGGATAAGAGGGTTTCTTTACGAGATCTAATCAGAAATGAGGAGTTCCGTAAACTAAGGTCGCTGACATAGCCCGACCGATTTGCAAGCTGAAGTGGCAATGGACAGGGCGCATAGTACGCAGAACTGACGGTCCATAGTCCAGTAAAATTAATGTTTGAAAGGGAGTTGAGATGTCGTTCTTTGTTGACCAAGTACCTATGGCAAATAATAAAATTGATTTAGAACAAGTTAAATTAACCATAAATAGTAAAGATATTAAAATATTTGCAGTGGAACAAAAAGTGATGGTGAGAGACATGAGAAAATCATTGGTCTTTGCCAATCATGTACTTTGGGTTTTGTGGCAGGTTGTGGCGAGTTTAAACGCTTTGTTTAAAATCTCAATTAAAACTTTTATCTGATTCCGATATTACGATATTGGGTCGCTCAATATCGGAATTGAAATATCGGATCTCGTAGTCCGAGATTCCGATATTACGAGATTCCGAGATTCCGATATTCATGCCCTAGACAACAGCCCCCCTAGACAAAACGCACTTTTTGATCGAATCGAAAATCAAATCCGTCAAAACTCCATACAAAAAAGGGGCTTTTCGACCACTTTTCGACTGGTTTGCGATTATAATTTGCACTTTGTCTAGACCCACAGGTCGCGCGACCCATGAGAGTTGACTGACAGTTCACGCGACCTGTCATAACAAACCAACGCGATCACAGCGCGATCAACCGGCGTGCAGCGATGGCGATCAATGCATTTAGGTCTGGTCGCCATCGCTGCACGCCGGCTGATCGCGCTGTGATCGCGTTGGTTTGTCCGAACCCTGATCGCGGCGATGCGATGGCGATCTGCACGCGTTGGTGTGGCTGAAGCACAAATCCTATGCTTCCTAAAAAGGCAAATCTGACTGATCACGACTGGTAATTATTATTCATACAACGTGTAGCACAATGTGCAAGCAACCCACAAGAGTTCTTACAAGAGATTTTGTCCCTATGTTACATGCGATGTACAATAGTAGGTACGTAAGTATACCTACGCTGCCATGCAACAAGCAAACATCACAAGGATTCGCACACGCTTTTTATCTCAAACCCACATGAACTGCTGCATAAAAATTTGCTTAATCCAACAACATTATGTTAATCAACAAACGTAGGTAGGTACGTGGGAACAGACCTAGTGCAGTTATGATTCTTTAACCAGCTCAACCCAGTTCGAACCGGTTCGGTGTGAATATGGGTGAATTACCATAAATCCATGAATATTGTTACCGTTGCGCAATATTGGCCGAACGAATTTTAAAATGTGACACAAGGACGTGAACCGATCATCGAACCGCAGATAAAGAAAATCCCAACTAATATTATAAATGCGAAAGTAACTCTGTCTGTCTATCTGTTACGCTTTCCCGCTTAAACCTCGCAACTGATTTTGATGAAATTTGGCATAGAGATAGTTTGAGTCCCGGGAAAGAACATAGGATAGTTTTTATCCCGGTTTTTGAAACAGGGACGCGCGCGATAAAGTTTTTCTGTGACAGACAAAATTCCACGCGGGCGAAGCCGCGGGCGGAAAGCTAGTGATTGAATAAATTGATTAATAATGAAAAATACGTGTGATTCACATGTAGACAAAGGTCACGCGCGCAGGCGACATGTCAATAAAAACACAAATAAAAAAAATCCGACTTCATGATAAGCGGACAAAACCATTTAAAATTGTTTTAAATGTGATAAAAACTAGAGAGAAGTAGGTAGTAAAATAGGTAATCAAATTCATGTACTAACTAGAATAGTATGTTCCAACAAGTCTCATCATAGGACTACATCTGGTTTACATCCTGTAACGCATTCCAGAAAAAAACATAGTCTGGAATTCAACATTTTTGATTTGATACCTAAAACTTTATTCAACAAGATAAAGATAATTTACGATAGTGAAAGTGAAACAAGACCCATAAGCGTGACATTTATTATTATTTAATGGAAGCGCTTGAAAGTCAAGCAATTTAAATAATGTCAAGGAAATTGTTATCATAAACAAATGGTTGATTTCGTAGAGTCGTCATTTGTTTTTTATAAAATGCCGGCTAGCAGTAGCAGTCTGCGAATTTTTGCACCACGCGGTGAGAAAGACAAAAAATATTGGCAAACAAGTTGAAAACTAGCGCCAATAAACTAAAATACAACGAGTGAGTGAACTAACACGATGTGAAAGCAGAGGTCGGTAAATAAAATGTTTTATGTGATTACAAAACTGTACAAACAGTATTTTCATGTTTACAATTTAATAATCTTTGATACTCACATCAACATTAACATCTTTACTTGGGTTGTAGTAGCTACGTCTACAATAAACAGATGTACCTGCTAATTTATTACTTGATTCAACTAATGTAAAATTGTAAATTGTATAATGAGATTTATGTGCTTGCATTTCATTTACAGAATGTCTATTTCCAACTTAATTTTCA